TCGTCGAAAAGGCAAAACCGCCAATGGTAGGATCTGGCATCTCTATTAATTATACCATCAGTCGTACGATTCTATCGGATGCTGTGAACCTCGTCCGTAATGATCGTTTCAACACGGACGATTTTAATCCGCATAACTTGACCAATTGGGGTTTCAATGACATACAGTCTGATCCGAAAATTTCTGAAGGAAATCTCCTATATAGGCTCCTTTTACGTAATACTCAAGGATGTTATAAGCCGAATTCCGTCTATGCAATGTTCCCATTCGTAATCCCTTCCGTAACCAAAAAATATCTTGAAGAAAAAGGAACCGTTGATCAATATGACTTTAGCAAGCCGGCTGTTCTCGAACAACAACAACAAATGACCCGTGTTGTGCGCAGTTACCGTGCGTGTCGCGAAATCCTTTCAAACAAGGATGCCTTTAACGTGGTCTATGACCCAAAGATGAAATTTATTACGCGTGATGTCGGGTACTTCCTTGGTTTCGATGAAAATGAACCTCATGATCGAGATCGAACTCGTTTGGAGAAGGCGTTTTATCCTGAGGACCAAGACAAGTTTTTCTCGGGCATCAAACAATTCTACTTGAAAACCACGCAAGACCTTATTGATAAAAAGAAGATTTCGTTCGATGGAAAAATTAACCAGATTAATGTGGTCCGCGATGTTTGCAATCTAGCACCCGTACACTTTGTATCAGAATACTTTGGTGTTCCTTTGAAAACTCAAGAATCACCTCGCGGCGTTTATACTGAACAAGAAGTTTATTACCAACTCACTATTATATTTATGTATATCTTCGTCGATTCTGATCCCGTAGATAGTTTTAATCTCTCACTAACCGCCCAGAAAACCTCGGAGCATCTGCATGATATCATGCAAAAAATTGTCGAAATAGTTAGCGGAGATTCAACATTAATTCAAAAAGCCGCCGATTCTCTTATTGGTGCTGATGTAAAGGTTTCCCCTCAAGCCGAACAGTTGATTAAAATTTTAATGAAACAATACAAAGACTCAAACTTAGCCACTTGGAATATCATCGGTACAATTTCCGGTGCTGTCGCAACACAAGGTGAAGCGGCGTCTTTGGTTGTTGATTTCTACTTGCGTCCAGAAAACAAGTCACATTTGGAAGAGATTCGAAGATTAGCCGACAAGACTGACGAAGAGTCAGATAACTTGATGCTTGGATACGTTCTTGAAGCGTTACGGTTTAATCCTAGCATTCCTGGTCTCTTCCGTCGTGCTACCGAATCTATCAGCGTTGATAACGGATCCGAGAAATTCAACAAAGATGAAATAATCTTCCTTTCATTGGGTTCCGCTCATATGGATCCCACAGCTTTCCCCGAGCCAGAAAAGATTAACCCGCGTCGTCCAACTGATTCATATTTAACTTTTGGACTTGGTTTCCATAGATGTTTTGCGAAACAAGTCAACTTTATTGCCCTACCGTCAATGGTCAGGACCATTCTAAAACTTAAAAATCTTCAGCGCGTTTCTGGCAGAGCTGGACAGATCAATCAAATAAAAGAAACTGCAACTGATTATGTTACTTCTCGAGGCACCATTTTCACATTCCCAACTGATATGGTTCTTCAGTATTCAGACTGAATTTGAATTTTAAAATCATTTTTTTTTCTTTATAATTAAACCCATTAATTTTAAGATATTGTGTTAACAAATTAATTAAATAAAATTTTACGATACGACTTTCTGTTATTGGCCAAAAATCACAAACGTCAAAGTTACGTTGATAAAAACTAACTAAAATCAATTAAACCTCTAACACAATCACAATCATAGAAACATAATGTTGATCAATCACATAAATAGGTATTGCCGAGCGCGGTCTAAATTTGGATAAACAGTAATGTAATCATTGGAAATCGGTTGTGCAAAGCCAATAAACCTTTGTAATTATTCTTCGAATGAACAATCCCTTAAATACAATCATAGATCGATTTTTATATAATTTCGTTTAAATCGATAGAGAACCAGTATATAAAAATCATCTTTAATATTTTTTTTTAAAAATTATGCTTCTATACTTCCATTAATGAAAGAATTAAATGTTGAAGAAGAAAAATAAGCTAAGAAATAAGGTTAAAAATTAATGTATTACAAAATATTATGAGCCAAAATTAAGAAGTCCGCAAAGAGTGATTAATTCCTTAATAGAATTTGGGAACAACCTGAATGAAATTGCAAAACTTTTTCGTAATTTGTTATATTCTCTTGATAAGAATTTTATTGTTCCTTGATATAAGACAGTTAATATTGAGGAAGGAAAAAACATTATGTCAAATAGATTGATTGATAAGGAGATAATAGGTTGTTGTTCAAAATAGGAGGTGAAATAAGAGAGATATGCCACCCTTGAGATTTCATCAGCCCAATAAAAAATTTAATATAAAAATTCCATAAAAATATTAAGTTTTATAACGTATAACTTTATGGAAAATCAGTATAATATATACGTTTTTT